GTCCCGTAAGTGTATTGCATGATATATTTCGAGAGATGGTGATTTTCCTTCGCCCGCTGGAACGTGAGATCCACGCCAACCTACATATTGACTTGCGGAGACTATCCCCTTCAGGTATCTCGCCCAGCAGGGATCGCCTCAGCCGGAACAAGCTCTACTCTCCCGTGAGCTCCTGTGATACGTGAAGTAGTATAGTGCATGAAAACGTGCGTGTATGTGTGCGGCTAGGGGAAGGTGCTAGTATGAGGAAGATCACGCGTAGTCCGTGGCCCGTTTGATAAGGTACTACCCCCGCATTTGTCTAGAATTGATCGGAGAAAACACGGACAACTACCGTTCGGAATAGCTATTCGTCAGAATTCTCCTCTCATTCAGTGGTTGAACTCGACCTATTGTGCCGCTCTCGGGAATCAAACACTAGGACCTCCCGGTCAACGATGTTCCCGCTGAGCTCTCGTCGCCGGGGAGTGCCTCCGTTTGTCAGGGCTCTTCACCCGCGCTTGAGCACTGTGTGGGGCTTAATGGGCACCGCTTAGCCCCTCCCGCGTGCGGCCTATTAGTCTGGCGGGCGACGGCCTCTGCTCCTAGCTGTGCAGCGGGCAGTCGCGCCGGGGCACGCCTCCCGCGCAGGGCAGCGCCGAGCCGAGCCGAGCCGCGTCCCTCCCTGCGTCGCAGCTCCGCGGCGCCCCATCGTAACCGCCAGCCGGAGCGTTGCCTTCCCAATTGACGCGCCCTTGACGCCCTCGCCCGGCGACGCCTCGCGCGAGTGCAGTGGCCGCGCAGTCGCCGCCTGCGCCGGGGGCGAGCGGGCTGCGAGGATGACGGCGTCCGGTGCGGGCGCCGCGGGCGGCGCCCTGGGCGTTTTGGGCATCCGCGGGCGCGTCTCCGCCATCGTCCTGGCCTTCGAGAGCGGCCAGGTGAGTGCGCGCCCTGCCTTGGCGGACCAGAGCCTGCGACGCGTCGCGACGTCACGGACGTTGTACAGTCAGAGGTTTCTGAGTAATATTCGCGCAATTGTTCTTGATACACGAGCTCCCTAGTCCTTGCCTAGCACTGAATAGCACGTTGCGATATTTGTGTCCGACTCGGAACAGCACTCACAATGGTGCCTACATCCACCACCCACCTTGAAAATAATCGTGGTATTTCTCAGGACAGAACTTGGCGCGATACGTTCCTACCGACTGGTGGTTCTCTCTTTTATGCTGTGACGAAGCCAGAGCTCTGCTCTCGCCGTACCCTCCGCTGTGGAATATCAAGAAAACTTACACGTACAGTACGTTCCTGCATGGATTTCTTTTTTCGTCTCCGCGAGACATAGCTGCTCAATGCAGCAGACGTAGCTGTGGATGCTCGCGTTCTATTCCCTCGAGAAACCACGCAACTGGAGGCAAACCCTTGTGCGAGTTTTAGATGAAAGATGTCCTGTGCCGCAGAGCGCGGATTGTCGAATAAGGAGGGCTGCCGCTGTTGAGCGCGCTCTTTCATTGTCTGGCGAGAACGACACTCGTGTATTGTGGCCCTGAGCTCCTGCGTGCGTTGTCTGGGTGAATTCATGGCTGTGAACTCATACTTGTGTCGTGCTATACTCAGAAAACGTGAATGACAGGATGTGCAGCATGTAGCGCGGACAAGTGGGTGGCAAGTTGCCTTGCGTGTGTGTGGGGGATTGCCAGTTCCATCCTTCCTTTTCCATCCCATCCTTTGATCGTTATGTAAAAGGAAACGGATAACCTATCGTCAGCAATGAACATAGTGGTGGCAGTTCACTTCTGTACAAGACGTTATAATACTATAAATATTCAGACAGTCTGAATATGTCAAATAAGGAAAGGTTATATCCCGTACGTTGCGCAGTTCTTTTGAAAGCTCCTGGATTTCACAACTAGAACGATGTTGTTTTGTTATGTGTTAATACGAGAGGTTGTAACAAAGGTGTCTTGAAATATGGAAAGAGAAGAATAAGAACAAGGTAGGGATGTGATGTTTTATCTAATTTCGTGCCTGAAGTCTGTAAATTAATTTCCTTAGTTAAAATAGAATTATTACAGGATGTAAAGGAAGTGTTTGCTATCGTGCATAGAAGTATTCGGCTTTAACCCAAATAATAAGTGTCAGGAAAGATCGGAGATACTCTGTATCGGTTTTACAATCTTTTTTATGTACGTCAAACAAATAATAGTTTTAAAATATTTTTAAAATTCACTCCTCGCAATCTATTTGTCAAAAACGTGAGTTGGGAAATTAGCTTCTAAAATTCAAAAAAGAAAAACTAACTTGTTAGTGAATCATGAAGATAAATTGGTCTAGAGTGTCAAGGTAGTTACTTGAGAATTGATTATTTTATCCCTCCGTTCGCGATCACTGCATTGGTCAGCAGTCCCGTGCGTTTAATACCTGTAATATCGTGGGAGTGGCTGTGTTCCTTCCTCTCTAGAAAGTGAGATCCGACATAACGAGCTAAAACATAGAGTGGCTGAAGCGTCTTTTTTTTTCAGTCGAAACAGGGCCCTCCGAAGAAACAGAGTACACGAGTATTCCGTTTGGCGCAGGTTACGGCTGGGTTTGAGGTGGGCCGCGCGTTATAAAAATCCTCTTACTCTGTGTTCCACGGCCAGAAACCAATCATTTAAAAACGGAATGACAATACTTTAGAAGAACGAATTGAAAAACTCTAAA